AGAGAGACAATGCTAACAATGGCATTTACAGGAAATAAAATATAATATCATAAGAATGCAGTGAAGAGAGCAAAAATTCCCTTACCAGCCCTTTGGATGATGCAGCAAAGAAAGAGGAAGAACATCCACTCTACCTCATATACACATTACTTGTTTTTGATTGGTTCTTTGTTTCTATAAATCTGACTGCCATTCTGGGGTCAAGAAGGAATTTTTTTCCTAGCTTGTTGCAAAATTGTGCTTCAAACTGGTTTTTTTTGCCTTCTTTTGGATCAACAGCAAAAAACAAATGTGAGGTAGGCTGAACTTGATGGACTCAAGTCTCTTTTCAGCTATGTAACTATGTAACTATATATGTTTTTATTCTCTGCTGTGAAACTAAGTTAAGAAAAATATGCAAAATAAGAAGCCTCATGTCATGTGGTAAAATATTGGAATATGTGTGTTTGCGCAACTCCCTTTGCCACACCAAGGGTGCATAATTCATTGTAATAAACAATATAATATTGCTATTTAATGTGATATGTGTAGTGCATACATGAAGTGGCTACTTGCTAGAGGTCGTATGGCCAATTAGATTGTAGAGGACAGATGTCAGAAGGGGTTAATTTTAATTATACAGGAATTTGATAGATGTCAGAAGATTTACAACATGAAATCCTCTTTTGAAGCTGTGACCCCAGAGCTCCTCTGCAAGGTGTGAAATGTTACACATGAGTTGCCTGTAAGTCTGGCTTCAATGTAAACTAGCTGGCTTCTACCATGTTTCTGTATCTTTTCTTAGATAGCGGGTTCTTTGATATGCTAATGACCAGAGGCGGCTCTCTAATTAGGCGATTTAGGCGGCCGCCTAAGGCCTTGCGCAGGCAGGGGCCTCGCGGCCGCCTAAATCACCTTAGGGCAGACATACATGTCGGATCCTCGGTCCATGACCGAGGATCCGACATAAGGGGGAACCCGGCGGCTTGCCCTTTCTGCCGCCGGGTGCAGGCCCCCTCAGTCCGCCCGGAGAGCCAGCTTTCAGTCTGCAGCTCCTCCGGGTGTGAGCTGCAGACTGAAGGGTCTTGCGGTCCCCAGCCAATCAGAGCGTTGCCGCGGGTTTCCACGGCAACGCTCTGACTTCTGGAGATCGCGAGACTCCTATCACGTGGTCTGCAGCTCACACCCGGCGGAGCTGCAGACCGGATAGGAGGCCCACCGGACCACCAGGGAGCCAGGACACTTGACCACCAGGGACACCTGCAAAGGTAGTTAATTACCCCTCCCTCACTAAGTCCCCTGTCACCCCTCAAAGTCCCCTGTCACCCCCTAAGTCCCCTGTCACCCACTAAGTCCCCTGTCACCCCCTAAGTTCCCTGTCACCCCTAAGCCCACTGTCACCCCTCAAAGTCCCCTGTCACCCCTAAGTCCCCTCTCACCAAGTCCCCTGTCACCCTCTACCTAAGTCTCCTGTCACCCCCTAAGTCCCCTGTCACCCCCTAAACCCCCTGTCACCCATCACTAAGTCCCCTGTCACCCCCTACCTAAGCCCCCTGTCACCCCTCACCAAGCCCCCTGTCACCCCTCACTAAGTCCCCTGTCACCCCCTACCTAAGCCCCCTGTCACCCCTCACTAAGCCCCCTGTCACCATCACTAACTTCCCTGTCGCCCCCTCACCAAGTCCCCTGTCGCCCCCTCACCAAGCCCACTGTCACCCCTCACTAAGCCCGCTGTCATCCTCTCACTAAGCCCGCTGTCACCCCCTCCCTCCCTGACTCTGCCCTCTGTCACCCCCTCACTCTGCCCCCTGTGAGCCCCTCCCTCACTGACAACTGTCACCCCCTCACTGTGGCCCTCACTCTGCCACCTGTCACCCCCTTTACCCTAATTCTAACACCTGTCACCACCTCCTTCCCTCACTCTGTCCCCTGTCACCCCCACCTTCCCTCACTCTGTCCCCTGTCACCCCACCTTCCCTCACTCTGTCACCCCATCGCAAAGCCCCCTGTCACCCCCTCCTACCCTCACTCTGACCCCTGTCACCCTCTCCCTCTCTGACACTGCCACCTGTCAACCCCTCCCTCAGCCACCTGCCCACCCTTCACTCTGCCACCCCCTAACTCTGTCACCCCATCCCTCCCTCAGCGACCTGTCACCCCCTTTCACACTCTGTTAATCCCTTCCACAATCTGTCACCCCCTTCCACACTCTGTCACACCTCTCCACACTCTGTCAGCCCCCTCCACTCTCTTTCACGTCATTTCACACTCTGTCATCCCCTCCACTCACACACACAGTCTCCCCTTTCAACACCCTGTCACCTCCCTCCACACACCCTATCACCATTCCCCACAGACAAAATGCACAAAGGCCACAGTCCATATACAAAAAATACCGCAAGCAGCTACCACACACACATACGGTCCTAGACACAAACATACACATGCTCACAGAAACATACATTCACATACAAGGGTACTCACTGTCAGACGCACTCTCAGGCACATACACAGATAGACAATGACAGACACATTTAGAAATACACACAGCCAGATAAACACATTGTGACTGTATGTCTGTATTAGTCAATATGTGTGCATCAGTGTGTTTGTGTGTGTGTGTGTGTGTGTAAATGCATGTGCATGTATCAGTGTGTATATGTATTTGTGTATTAGTGTTTAAATGTGTGCGTGTGTCTGCAGTGTGGTTGTGGTATGATATGGGCAATGCAAAGATAAAGTTGCAAGCAATATATATATATATATACATACATACATACATACATAGGGAAACACATATATGATAATATACATGTTAAGGAATTTAGAATATGTGGGGAAATGTCAGGCTATACAACCATACCCAGCAATCGTATACAAATGATTAGCAATTTATGTCATATCTACAGTAAGTGCTCACAACACAGCGGCATAGGGAGTTGCGGCAATTTTTTTCACTAATGGTGTAAATGGGGGGCCTCATGTTTGACTTTCGCCTAAGGCCTTGCAAAGTCTAGAGCCGCCTCTGACACTAAATGTTAGTAGCTGCAACAAAACAAAGAAATCCATCCAATCACAGTGCTCTGTGTCATTTTACACAGCGTGGGAAAGTTCTTTGGAGCTCAGTCTGTGCGGAGCCCTCCATGGGTGAAGATGGATTCTTTTTTTGCACTCAGGTTTTTTCTTTTTCGTCAGGTTTTTTTTTTTTGTACTCGGGGTTTTTATTTTATTTTAAGTTCGACAGTTATGATGGTTTTTTATTTGGCCTTTTTTGGGGCTGAAAAATGAAGATTTGAGAAAAAAGAAGACGTCGAATGGTAAGTTTAATTTTACTTTACAGGTTAGTTATTTTATTCCCCCCTCACTATTTTTTAGGATGACGGGGGTAGGTAGGGGACTCTTTATTTAGGTGGGGGGGTGGGTGACTAGGGGCTTGGGGACCCCTAATCACCTTTGATGGGGGGGTGTGAATTTGACTTAGGGCCCCCACCCGTCACCCGGGG